GGCTGGAAAATTATTTCACCTTGTCCTTTTGTGGGTTCTGCTGCTCCAGAAATTGTTTTATGGCATTATTTAAAGGTGTTAGGAGAGATTTTGGGGAGAGTTCATGTGAGTTGCTGCCTTTTCTCCACCATCTTGGCTTTGCCCCCATTTATGGCACAATCTTAAAGGCACAAGTTTTGTATTCCAGAGTTCTAGGCTGCAGTGAGGCCCTGGAGGTGTCACTTTCCCAGCTATCTCTTTCTGTAGTTATAGATTTAGATATATACACATATATGTGCATATGTGTAAATACCTATGTGGAGATGCACATACACACATATGTGTATGTAGATCTAAATATATACACTGTGGAGATGTATAGATATACACAGGTGTATAGATATAGATATTTACACGTGTAGATACACATGGATATAGATATATACACATGTATAAATATGTAGACATACAGAGGTAAAATTTAGACGTGTATAGACAGATGTGCAGTTATGTACATACATGTACATGCATGTAGATAATGCTCATGTATATACATGCAGATGTAGAAAGATACATGTACATAGATATATACAAACACATTTTATGTAGGTAATTTGCCTAGCTATGTCTTTAATATAATAGATGTATTTCTATAAATTATATATAGATATATATAATGTAGAAATAGGTCTAGAAATATAGATATAGATATATAGACATATCTCTAATATATAACAGATACATCTCTAAATTAGAGACATAAATATATATCATATAGACATAATAGAGAGATATATCTCTATAATATATAATATATAGAGATATAGCTGGTCAAATCAGCTTCATCTAAGCCTTGGTTTCCTCATCTTTAAAGTAAGAATGATCACTCTTGGTTGTCCTCTCTCCGACACAAGATGGCTATGAGGAAAGCACCATGTAAAAGCTAAGAGGACTTTGGGTGTGTAAATTGACTAAGTGGTAGCTTGCAGTGCCCAGGATGGTAGAAAGCTTGGTAGAGGGTTGAGCACACGGCAGTGTTGGGTGAAGTCACAATTGTAACACTTAGTCAGCTAGGGTTTATCAGTTCGGTTGATAGTGGGGAAGGCCGAGGCTCTTACATTAACTAGCCTTATGAAGGTGGCCAGGACGCTTTCCCTTTCTGGGTCTTATCTTCATTTTACAGACATGAAAACAAATTATTCTTCTGCCTACCTGTTGGGATTATGAACATCAAATAAGATGAAGAAAAGGATGTGAAAACACTATATATGGTATTGAAATTCAAAGTGTTAGTCACCAGATGACAGTTTATATAACACCATGTAAAAGACAAATTGGTCACCTTTCATTCGTTAAGAACAGTAGTTCCAGTTTACAAAGCATTTTTCTCAGTATAACCCTGTGAAATTGGGAGTATTAAGTTACTGGGTTCAAATCCCAGTTTGGCCATTTACTAGCTGGGTGGGTAGTTTCCTAACCTTGAAGCTTATTTCCTCATTTGTAATACAGGAATAAAGTATTTGTATTCCCTCTCTCACTGGGTTGTTTGGAGGAAAGCCCATGGCGAACTCTTAAAGTAGCTTAAAACTGTGAGCTATTTATTTGGTACCTTTCCTAGTTAAGAGATGTCTATAGTCAGTGTTTAGCACCGTGCCTGGTGCATAGAAGGTACTCAAAAAATGTTGTCATCACCCCTCATTTTAATAAAACCCAAGTGGGAAGGTACCCTATTCAAACAGACATTATACAATGTAAATGACATTATACACAATTTATTTAATGATGTTAATAGATTTTCAAAGCACCATAGGGCCTTTGAGATCATCTAGACCAACTCTTGCATTTTAAAAGCAGGTAGTTAGTACTATACTAAGATAATTGAGGCTGTTTGTCATGAACTCCCCCTTCTCCTTTTTGTGCTCAAGTCCCTTGTACATAACCCCCATTCACTCTTCCTTTCTTCCAATCTCTGATAAAGTGATCCTTCTGTTGGCCAAAGCCGACCCTTTGTATGTGCTCTTGATCCCATCACTGGCTGCCTCCAAGTAGATTTCCCCCTCAAAGCTTGCACCTCCGTCTTTAATCTGTCCTAAGCTACTGGCTCCCTCTCTACCCTTAAACATGCCCAGGTCTCCCCAGTCCTTAACAAATCTTCACTGGCCCCCTACCATCTCCTCAAGCTATCGTCCTGTATGTCTCCAACCTAACCCAGTCAAAGCTGTCTCCATTGATTGCTTCCACATCCTCTTCTTTTACTCCTTTAACCCTCTTTAATCTGGCACCTGACCTCATCATTCAACTGAAACTGCTCTCTCCAAAATCCCCAGCCATCTTTTCCCCACCCCCAGCCATCTTTTAATTGCCAAATCTGATGCTTTCTTCTCAATTTCATCCTTCTGGATAGCTCTGCAGCAAATCTGACAGTTAACCATCTTCTAGATAGTCTGAGATTCTATGACACTATCTTCTACCTGACCACTCCTCAATCTCCTTATCATCCATGTCACATCTCCCAGGCTCTGTCCTAGGTCCTATTCTTTCTATACTTTCTTTCATTAACCTCAATTCCCATGGATTTGTCCTCTCTAACCAGGTAACTCAAAGACCCATGGTCTAGCCCCAGTCTGTCTGTCTCTCTGACACAGCACAAGCTGTTAATTGGACATTTCAACTGGATAGCCTAAATTCAACAAGTTCAAAACTGAACTCATGTTTCCCTCAAAATCCATCCCTCCGAACTTCCTATTTCTGTTGAGGGCATCATTATACTTTAAAAAAATTTTTTTTTCAATTAGCAAGGATTTAATTGTCTCCCTCCCATTAGAGGGTATGTAGACAGGAGGGGAAGAAAATAAATTGTCATAGGTCCAAATTACTTTCCAGAATGGCTGGAATGCACTCATTTTCCTGCTACCCCTCCACCATTTATCATTTCTTTTTAAAAAAATCTTTGCCAGTCTGGTGGGTCTGAAATGGAACATGAGTTGCTTTAATTTGCATTTCTCTATTAGTGATGCAAACCATGTGAAAAATATGGCTATTGATAGCTTGAATTTCTTCCTTTGACAACTTCCTATTCATATCCATTGATTATATCAACTGGAGAATGGCTCTTATTCCTATAAATTTTAATCAATTCCTTGAATATTTTATAAATCAGACCTTTATCAGTGAAACTTGTTTTAAAGATTTTTTTTTTGCCTGTTGTCTGCCTTCTGATTTTAGCCACATTGATTTTATTGATTCAAAAAAAAATTTTTTTTGGGGGGGGCTTAGGCAATGGGGTTGAATGACTTGCCCAGAGTCACACAGGTAGTTAAGTGTTGTGTCTGAGGCCTGATTTGAACTCAGGTCCTCCTGACTCCAGGGCCAGTGGTCTATCCACTGTGCCACCTAGCTACCCCCCAAAAAACCCTTTAAATTACATGTAATCAAATTTTTCTATTTTATGACCCCTTGTTTCATCAAGAATTCTTCACTTTATCCATAGATCCAAAAAGAAATATTCTTGTTCCTCTAATTTGCTTATGATGTGATACTGGGATCTTTTATTATTTAAGTTGTTTTATCTATTTAGACCTAATCTTGATATATGCTGTAAGGTGTTAGTCTAATTTTTTAACAGACTCGTTTTCTAGTTTTCTCAGCAGTTCTGTGAGTTTACTCCAGTAACGAGACTTTGGTACCACTACTCCTAGTTTATAATTTTGGTGGTATCCTCAATTCTTTACTTTCCCGTCACCCTACATATCCAATCAATACCAAATATTACCACTTCATTTCTACTTCATCATCTGTCCCATTCAAGCACTTCTATTGACAGTCACCACCTTATTTCAGGCCCTGATCACTTCTTGCCTGACCATTGCAATGGCCTGTCTTCAATCTAATACTCCACACAATTGCCATAGTGATTTTCCTTAAACCCAGATATCATCCCTGTACCTGTTTATTTCCATTTATTCCTATTTATTCTATTTAAGTTCCAGTGACCTCCTAGTACCACTAAGATAAAATAAACTCCTCTTTGGCCTTTAAAGTCCAAATTGGCTTTGATAAGTTGCCCTCAGCCTGTATTTCCTATTTCATCATACACTGCCCTCTGCCATCTGTTCTTCACAAAAGGCACCGCATGGCTCCATGGCCTTGCACTGACCATTCCTTAAAAGTACTTACCTTATCTCTGCCTCAGAACCCTTCACCGTGCTTCAAGACCAGTTAAGTGCCCACTTCTACACAAAGCCTTTCCTGATCTCCCCAAGCCCTACTATATGCTCAGGATGCCCAGCTACCTTCCATTCATTTTGGATAACTCTGTATGTAGTTATGTGCACATCTCTATTGACAGAATGGGAGCTACAGAAGAACAGGGATTCCCTAGAACCTAGAACAGCACCTGGTAGAGAGTAGGTATTTGATAAGTGCTTCATTTTTGTGTGTGTGTGTACGTGAAAAACTCAAGGAAATTTAATCTTACAGAACAGTGTTACAAATGGGACAGTGAACAGGCTAACTCAGACAACTCAGAGCAGTAAAAAAGAGCTTTGAAGTCCAGAGAACCTAGATTCAAAACTCAGGTCTCCTAGTTACTACTTATGTTGGGCAAGTCATTTCACTTCAGTTGAGGGATTTAGATGAGATGATCATAAAGGTCTTTTTTCTGCTCTAAATCCTAGGACTTTTGATAGTAGCTGAGCTTGTCTCTCATAACCAAATCTGTACTTCAGGGATTACTGGAGTACTTTATGACAAGATTTGTTTTTAACTCCATCAGAAGTTATTCATAATGTTATCCATTGTTGAGCATCGATGAGGGCACTACCACTGAGTTTGTGCCTGCACACAGATATTATATTCCCTTGCAAGGCCTATCTTGGAAAATCTTTGATTGATTGAAACACTTTACACACTGGACCTATATGGTGCCCCCTTAATAGATGCTGAATTGATCCCTGTAACTTCTGAAATTCTGAAAAGTCTAAATTACATGGTAATAAAAACAATTCCAATTAGGTCTTTGGTATGTGAACATTTCACCTTTAATGAGTACTTCTTGAACCAAATTGACTATAAAATTACATTTTTCCAAAATAAAACAGTAATCCACATGTAATAGCCCAAGTAGAAAAGTTATACTTATTGGCACTGTTATGAGTCTATGGAACCTGTGCAGAACACGTCTGGGATACAGAACTCTGCAAGCATTGACAATGCCATGCACCAAGCTACAAAATGGGGTTAATTTTTGCCACATAGGTTGTAGTAAACAAGGTAAATAAAGGGAGCATGGTTTGGAAACTGAGAATTGAGTCTATAGTCATAACCAATTAGAGGAGTTTCTGGGACCTTCATCATTCAGTTTCACCTTGCCCCAACAGAAAGGCCTTTTAAATTTTGTCCCCAAAAGTGATTCTTCTTAGAGGGCCAATTATATCTGCCTTTGTAAATGCTGGCATTCTGTATAGGTTGAGGCTTCTCTCTCAAATTAATTTGGATTTTAAAGCACTGACTGACAAGTGACAAAACTTCCTTGGAAACTTTTCCTTACAACACTTTTAGTTTAGTCATTTATACCAGAACCCTTGGGATGAAAAACACTGAGTCAGTAGCATTTGAGTCCTAATAAAAAGTAACAGAAATAGTCAAAAGACAATTAAAAACATTGAACAGACTTCTGTAGAAAAGAAGGTTAAAGACAAACCTCTTCTTCATTTTATACAGAAAAATAATCACACACTTTTCTCAAACACAAGTTTCCCCTTTAAAAGCTATTCTTCCATTCCCCTCCCTCCCCCTCCAATGTTAGGCAATTCAAAAACTCTACATCTCAGTATGTCCCCGAAATGGAATATTTATTCCTAGGCTAACAAATTAAATTTGGGGCCATCATCCAACATTCATATAACTTTCTAATACCTGACATTACTGTAAATGGAACTTGTTTAGAGGTAAACAAACAAAAACATAACTTTTTTTGTTGTTTCTAACAACATTATTTCACATCTCAACAGGGTAGAACTTAATACACCATTTAGCAAAATGGGTTGTACAAAAATCTGACTATATTTTTCCCAACATTCATATAGTACCATGCAGGTTTCATTTCACATAGGATGAAGATATTTGGTAACTGATACAAAGTCTTTTGCATTTAACATTCATTTAATTTCCTGAAAATAATATAGTCTCAAGTTGGGGGAATGTGTATACCTTGGGCTCATCAGGGTAAATACTTCAAAAAATTCTACAAACTCAAACCTGAGCATGCAGTCCTTAATTATAGATAAACATCCAGGAAAAGAGTAGCATTTAATGTAACTGGGATATAAGCAAAAAATGCAACTGTATTCTATTATATTCAACTGTTTAGAGGACTGGACAATTTTATTAAAAGTTTAAAGAGACCCAACTATCCCACAAATATTATATGTCCCAACTGGAGAATTCATTAACTAAAGAGTTGTAATCTGTACAATAGTCTAGAGTAGCATCTATATCTTAGTTACAAAGGCCTGAGACGGCATATATTTGGGACTAGGATTGGATACTTGATAGAGGACTGGTTTTAAAACAAGTCTGATTAAAGATGGTTGGGTAAGCTTTTGCATATTTGTAAAATCTAACTTCAGACCCTTTGTCAATCTCTGGTGCCAAAAGATTAAAGTAATATCCTAACTTTTTTTTTCTTCTAAGAAATTCAAAGACAGAAGCACCCAAAAGATGGAAGCTGATTTTGGGGTGGTCATAATCAAAATCTCTATAAACGTTCCCAAAATTCTCTGAGAACCAATTAAGTGAAAACTTTGAAATATTAACTTAAAAAAGCTAACTTGTGCTATAACTAGTTCTTTTATCCAAAAAAGAAAATTTCGTTTTGTCAGTGTTTGTCGCTTTACTCTGAAATATAAACATGTGGAAAATTACAATGTAGAAAATTCATTTTTTCTTAAAGGATCACTTTGAGAAGGAAACCTGTAAAAAAGAAAAAAGGACCATTCTTTTTTAGAAACTTTCTAACCTAGATCATAAAATAATTTGGAAAAACTAAAATGAGGCCAACAGAATGTACTTCTTAGTGTTAAAAATACTGCCAACAGTTTATTTACTATAATGTTTCAAAGCTTGCCCAACAATTAGGAGGAAATAGCATATTTTGACTGATTAAAAACAATCCAAATTTTGTTAAGAAAATAGCCAACCACTTTCACAATAGGTAGGCAGGTCTATAGTAATACATTTTAAAGTTCTTAAAATTGGTTATTATTTTGCAAAATTAATAGGCCTTGGCTAATTCTATCATTTGACACATTTGTTTTTTTGGTACACAGTATTTTGCATGATGCTTAAATTCCAGAGAAGAAAAATGGTAAGGTCCTTTTCCTTATAACATCTTTTCTGTTCTAGGGGATAAGGTGCATATTATTTTCATGAACAAATCCTTTACATCTGCCTCAAACATTTCTAAGAGGCTAATTCTAAAAGGAAATCATCTAGGTAACAATTTTCCACATAATGAATATAATTTCTAGAAATTAACAACATAAACATGTAGAATGTTAATGCCACTAAGTGACTAAGTGCCCCAAAATGTCTTTTAGGGACACATATATGTATTATAGTTGGGGGTGGAAGCAGTGAGGTCAGGGAACAGCACCACAGTTAACAACAGTGAAGTCAGTTTTTTCTTAAACATTCAGTGCTCAACAAAGTTGTTGAAGAGCCGCTACATATCCCCAGGCAGGTTAATATTTACAGGGCTTGGGCAAATGTAATGCATACTTTGATGGCCTCCCCTCCTGCTACAAAAAGAGTTTTAATAAAAGCCAAATACGATCAACAAAGGATAACCAGGTCTATCTGTCCATGGGGTACCTCTCAAACATTTGGCAGTTTCTGTAGAGAAACGCTAAAGTCATCTATGAGGTGCCTAATGATGTTAACCTGCCTGGTTACAAAATGGATAGGTACAATGTTCTTCTGCTTCTTATAACCAGTGATACATAGCAATCTAATAAAGCAAAAAATACAGTACAATTGAATTTCAAAATCCACTTGACTTGTCAATTTTCTTAAGTATCATTACCAAAAGTGGGTTTTCGTAAATTCCTTTTCAAGATGAATTTTATTCTCGGGAGATGTTAAAAGTAGCTGCTTCTCAAGTATTTCCTTTATTCTTTAAAAAAACAAAAGTTGTTAGAGATGCTCACTTTCTTCTTTACCTTTTCCCAATCAGTCACCTTGCTATCCCCCGTGATACCCCTAATTCCCTTCTTTTACACCAAATAACCTTGGATAGAATGAGAGAGAGGGAATAGAGGGACAAGAAATAAACTGTGAGCTGTTTGGAGTTTATACCTCAAACTTCCAAATATCTGAATGAATTCTCAGAGCAGGAAAAAAAAAACTTTAAAAAAAGGGAACTTATTATCTCTGAAATATTACACCATGGCTGGGTGCTCTTTTACTTGTTGAAAAAATAGAAATAAACAAAAAAAATCTCACAATGGAAATCAGTGTAAGACTTGTCCCATCTTAAAGAACCATAACTTGAAACAGAGAAAAGAAAGGAAAGAGGGTAAAGCTAGCCTTCCCCTCATTGTTTATAAATTTTGATCCACAATCAAAGCAAAACAATTATTCAGTTTTCCCCTCCCCCCCTGCAAATGCTTTCATATTATAATGTTGGATAATGGCATGTTTTAGACCAGTATCAATTCAATGAAAAAAGACCCACAAAATTTGCATGTAATGGAAATAGCTTTAATCATCAATAATTCTAAAATCTAAATCTTTCAAACCCTGAAAAAATAGTTTTGAAAAAATATACATTTTTATGATAGACTATGCTTCATTTTTTAAAAGGGCTACATAACAGATCTGCACTATAAAGGCAAACTATGCTAGTACGTATAAAACATTAAATGGGCATAAACTAGGGGCATCTGGGTTGGATCATGATTGCACAGGTCAGAATTTGTTAGCAACTCTGCCCATCCTTATATCAAAACACCTATGGGGCAGGAAACAGTACATAAAATCATTTTTTCCCTCAATTATTTATTTCACCTTTTAGCCTAAATAGAAACATACACATGGCAGGTCTAATGTCCCTATAATAGTCAAGTTCACATTTTTTTGTAATGAAAAATCAGGATATCATCAATAAACATACATTTCAATTAGTAATAATTTGTGAAATGAGGCTTAGCAAATATATATTTTGAGATTAAAAGCCAAAATAAAAAAATCATTAAAGAAAAACCAAATAAAAAAACATATAAAGCGTTTTCCCAAAATGGTGAAGAATGATGACAAGATGACTGTGCATTCAAAAGATATGCCCGTAAGAGGTGATATGATTTTCACCACAGTGGCCATTTTAGGAAAAGTTGTTGTTCCAAGTTTGAGACTCTTACAGCTCTGAAGACTAAAGTGTTACCTTATATTTTAGTTGTAATCTATAAATAGGAAAAAAAAAGAATATGAAAAAAATCCTCTAAAATTCCCCCCTCACTATCCTAGGGTGCTCCTCTCCTTATAAAGGGATATACATTTCTGAGAAAATATTTCACATTAACAAAAAAAGTTTTACAGTTTGCTGTTTTTATAAAAGCAGGAAAGATGACCAAACTCACTGTTTCAGAGGAAACCAAGTTAAAACCTTTGAAACAGACATCACTGTGGTATCTTCTGAATAAAGACACTGAGCAAAGGTCAAGCTATTTTTGTTAAACACTAAAAGTGTTTTCTTTTAGAAAATATGGTTTTCCACCTCACATACCTTTCAGGTGAAGTGGAAAATAGGCGTCAAATTTTTTCAATCATGCCTTTTTTATCCCCAAATTCAGGAGGGAACCATTACATTCTTAGAAATTCAAGTGTAACTGTAATGTTGTGTAATAAGTTTTGTTTGTCCTGAAAAATTCTGAATTGTGTATATCACAATTCATTATCAGTGCAGATACAGCAGAAACTGCTAGAGATGGCTCAGTGGATTTAAAAATGCTCTCCCCCAAAATGAAACCTGTACACTTATTAGATATGTAAAACTGTGTCCTTCGTTGACCCTATTCACAAGATAGACCCTTGTATCTACAAGATAGTGTTGGCCGTTAAAAACAAAAAACAAACAAACAAAAAAAAAACCACGCACAAACACACAAAACCCCTGAAGTCTGTCACTATTTGTACTCTGTTTTTCTCCTCCAACACCTTCTTTTCTTTCTTTTGGGCTTCAACTTGGTTGGTTCTGGGAAGGGTTTCTCAGTCTTTGGGTTTCTAATAGATTCCACTCCAAACTCATGTTCAGAACAACATAACCGTCCATCTTTTGTGGTGCTGAAGACTGTCCCATCCTGGTGGTCCTTGCAAAAGGAATTTGGGCAGAAATGACAAAAAGAAACTGATGGTTTGCCGCATACATCACAATGATGCCAAGGGCATTCCCATTTCCCTGCAATCAAAAATGAAACATTTTCATAAATGTTAGAATTTTTTGAAATCCCCAAACACAAAATGTCAGTAGTTTAGACTTCTGCCTATATATTGACACCATCTGGGGTAAAAAAGTTTCAAAAGAAGCCGAAATTAGCTTATTATTATCATACCAATGACATATGCATCAAGTTCCATAGATATGACAGCCTACCCAAGTGCCACTTTAATTCACTTAAGACATATTTAAAAACCAGTGTAACAATTGGAAGAACCTTGGTGTAGCACTAATCAGCAAATAATAATTGATTTTTTAAAAAATCATGAGTTAAACAAAGATCCATGAAAAAGGCCACAATCAAAACAGTAACTATGAGGGCACAAAGGTCCCAAGGGGAGTCACTCTGGTTTCTTAATCTTTTTTTTTTTTTGGACTAGAGCTATGATTTCACTGATATAAGGAATTCCTGGTAAGGACATGCCCTCTACCTATATAGATCAATACTAGATCTGCCACCTAATTTTAGAGTTACCTAAGGGCATGGAATGAAAGCTTACAAGATTTGACCAGGGTAAAATCCCAGTATATGCTACTTGATCTCAAATCCTCCAAAAGATTTTTTATCCATGATGAAAGATGCCTCTTGGTTACTTGCATTTTTATGTGCTCCACAACTACAGTATTTTAGAGACTCCAGTAGAATAGCATTTCTTGACATGATGCTGGCTGTGACTCAGACACTGATGAAGTCTAGTCACTTCTGATGAGTTAAAAATGTTGTATCACATGCATAACTGATCATGTGCATCTTCACAAAATTTATCCATCTATTGTTCTCACTGAGGACTAGCATTAAGTATGCAAGATATGTTAAACCAGTATGGTGGTTTTAAATAGTGATTCTTCTTGAAAATATTTCTAGAAAGCAGATTTTTCTTAAACCATAGCTTTGAGTAAAACAATACTTACTTATCTAAAAGAAAAAACTGGAGTTCATGGAATTATGAATTTGGAATTCAGGAAGGCCTTGGGATCAAGTTGAAATTTTCTAACAAATGGCTATGTTTGTAACTAATTTTGTTATAAAGATATTTAAAAAGGGGACTGATATCTGTGATAACATCTTATTATTTTAACTAGCTAACTGAATAAGACATTTTAAAAGAAAAAAAAAGGAATGGCAAGGCAGCCAGCTCCTCATAACTGGAAGTCTTCAAGTAGGGGCTAAAGAAACACTTCTTGAAATTATTATAATAAGTACTCCTGCTCAAGGATGGACTGGGCAGTACAGATGAAGGTCTCTTTGCATCTCAGATTCTGTTACCACTAAGGTACCTAAAATCCTCTTGAAATAGAACTGAATGTAGTAGAGAGATTGATTCTTTAAGTATTCATAAAACATAAACACACCTAGGCTCAAATACACATTTTTGTACTGCTTTGCCAATCTATTTTGTGCCAGTGTTGTCTAAAAAAGATTTGTATTTCCATTTTCACACAGAAGTTTGCTGCTTTCAGTCTTTTAAATCAGGATTTTGCCTAAAGATTCAACAGTGCCATCTAGTGGAGAAAAGGGTACTTTCGAACCTGTATATGGCTAATAACCATGTGATGTTGATCCCCAGAAAAAGATCTATTTTTCCAATTAAATTTAATCATGCCTTTATTAAGCACTTGCTGTAAACAAGGCAGTGTGCTAAGTATATAGTGTACTCTGAATGGGACAATATAAAGGTACATGGTTGGTGTGAGAAGGCTGTGACACAGGCCTGCACAACATTTGGCCTGCAGGCCGCGTTAGTGGACCACACGTTAGTGGGCTGTTATGTTGTGCAGGCCTGCTTGTTACATATAACCAACAAACTCCAAAGAACACGAGTAAAAGATGATGTCTTTTATGACAAAAAGAGAAGATGCCTAATCTATAGCAACTATGAGGAAGGCTTCCAGCACACTGGGTGGGCCTTCTGGGATGCACTTTTAGGAGGACATGGTTGATTCACATGGGGTGGGGGAGGAAGGAAGCATTCTTTTATCACTGGAGGGAGCTCCCAAATAATGACTATGATGAGTCATCATTTTAGGTATTTATCAAAGTGGCATTTCTTATTGTTTAGAAAGTGAGGCTATGATCCTTACAGAAGGCAGCATGACATAGATAAAACTGTCACTTAACTCTGCAGAACTTGCAAAATGGGTATGACAAACCTACCTTACAGAGTTTTGATGAGGAAATTTCACCTTAAATCCCTGCACAAAACTGAGGTAGTTACCATGAGGAGGAAAAGGAAGAAGGAATACTTGGGAACAGCTCTAAAGTTGGGAATGTTAGGAGTCATGGAATCCAACTTCACCTTTTGATCAGTGAGGAAGTAGAGACCTGGTGACATAGCTAGGATTCAAATTCAATTCCTAAGGCTTCACCATTCAGGGCTGTTTCACCTGCGCCACAGGGTCTGTACCTGGCACAGGTTCATTAAGGTCGTGTGTTTGAACCAACTTTAAACCAGGAGAATGTGGTAGATGCAATGAGTTTCAACTAGGTTTTGACCTTGTCTCTGGAAACATCCTCATGGACCAGGTGAAGAGATGAGGATCAGACTGAGCAGATTCATAAAGTGTGGAACATTACAAGGAGTGTTACCTGACAAATGTCACCCTAAAGTAGTTTCCAGTGAAGTATCACAGGACTTTGACATCACCTTGCTCTGTTTACTATTTTTAGCAATGACTGAGATCCAGGAGAAGGTGGAGTGCTTATCAAACCAGGAATATGACACAAAGGTAGGAGGAAAAGTGGAGGACAATGGAGGACAAAAATCAATGAAAAAAATTTCAATAAGCTAGAACAATGGGCAAATTGTAATATTATATTATTTGACAGGCCTATGAATTTCTAAACTCAGGTTCAAATAATTAGTTCTCCGAGAACAGAAGGGAGAAGATATAGCTAGCCAAAAGTTTACATGAAAAGAATGGGAGAGGAGGAACAGGACTCTGCACTGAGTTGTGGCCTCTCCAATGAATGTAAGCTGACAACAATGAGTATAAGTCAAATGCCTGGAACCTAGGATGTAATAATCCAGCTGTTCTCCATCCTGGTTAAACAACATCTAGCTTACTATGTTCAGTTCTGGGAATGATGCATAGAATGAATCTGGACAAGACAGAGTATGGGTAAAGGAGCGAGACAAGGATATTCAACACTAACCCACATGTGCACTGGATGAAAGAGGTCAGGCTATCTAATAACTTGAAACAGACTTCACTGGAAGTGAGATAGGAAAAGACACAAGATATTCCTCTACTTAAAGGAATGTCATGTGGAAAAAAGGATTATTGTTATTTTCTGGGGCCTGGGAAGGCAGAGCCAGGACTGATGAGTATAAATCACAAGGAAGCAGGCTTCAGCCCAATAAAAAGAATAGCCAGAAATCTCCAAAATGGAATGGTCTGCCTTGAGGACTAGTGTGGCCATCACTGTTTGAAGTCTTTCAGGTCAGGAAGAGCCCTCTGAATGACCAGCTAGTGGGAGATTATAGAGATAATTCATTCCTCAGAGGAAAAGCTGAACTAGATGATCTGGGACACTCCTTCAACTCATGAGATTTTATAATTACAAAGAATCACTACTTAACTGTTACAGACACCATAAACCAAAAGAAGAATATCAAAACCACTCAAAGTGCTTAACAAAGAAAAGATGGAAAAAATTAAGTATTTAAAATACTATTGTAACTGAAAGCAAATTAAATGTTTAACTGGTTAGAAGCAGTGACTTGAGAGTCAAGGAGTCTTTGTAAACCAATATCATTTTCTTCATCCCACTATAAATAATAATGTATTTGCAATATGATGAAATTAAGATGAAACAATATAAGAAGTAAACAATATCAAAGTAGTACCTGAAAGCATACAAACAGGTTAATTTAAAAAACATTCTAGAAAGACAACATGTATGTGAATCCAGTTATAAATTAACTTACCAAAAGGTCGTTTAACCAAATCCAGACAGGAGAGATGATAAGCTTTAGTACAACATTTCCGATCACACAGTACCAGTTGACCCCCATCACCACAACGGAAACAATCATCTTCAGATTCTTTCTTTCCTTCACCTTTTGTTCTACGTCTCCTTGTTTTTTTCTTGGTCTTTTTGCCCTTTTCCTCTGAAGAAAGAGCAGCTGAGTTCTAGGGTAAACAATAAGTTGTGTTTACTTAAGAAAAAACACATTTTCTAAACTGAAAAAATAAAACATATTAGTAGGTTAGAGGAAATGCTGATAATTCAAAAGATACAAAATCACAAGAAGAAATTTTAGAAAATTCCCTATTGGGACATGACAGTAACTACGATAAATTCTATATGGGGGAGGGGAGTTTTAAAAATAACTGTTATTAAATCAGTTTGAATAAATTTTTAAAAAGTATCTCATGTAAAACTCATCTTAGGCTTAATTTACCTTAACACACTAAAAAGAGGAACAATGAAATTGAAAAGCAACAAATGTGAGAACTAATGAGATAGCTCTCTTGCAACAAAGGTGTTAACAGATTATAGAAAGGGTGAAGAATTTTTCCCCTTCCATTTAGGATAACTAATGACAACAAATTCATGTTTTATCGTTTACAAAGTGCTTTTCTCTCAACCACATAAAGGAAATTGAGGAATGGAGAGCTGATATGACTTGGAGCCTAGAGTTGGAGCCTAGACTCAAAGCCAGGTCTCCCAGCTGAAGCACAGAAGGAAACAATGAAGGTAAAATATGAATACAATTTACATTAGTGCTTTACTTTTCCATTATCAATCCCATTCTCCTCCCTACAAGAGATAAACATATGTTATACTCACCAACTTCTAAAATTAAGAACACAGAACATAATTTAAAAGCATCAACTCTGGGTTACAGGACAAGTAATTTGAGTAACAATACTCTGAAAACCAGGTGACATTATTATGTAAAGGGCTGAAAATGACCCTCAGGCCAGAGGTTCCTTACTTCTGCCTTAGATGGTCATGCAGAGTAGCATGGGCAATGGTTTTGTTTTTGTTTTTTTTAACTTTGCCAGACCCAATGTTAATACATATTCGTGAACAAGAAAGTAAATAACAATGTTAACTGATTAACTATATGTAACCTTTAGTTAAGCAACAAGAACTATTATACTTCTAAAAATCTGCAGGGAAAAATTAGGTGTTGCTTCTTCCCAACTACCTTTGCCTCTACTTTCCGAATAAACACTAAGAACTGCATGCATACTCTCCCTATTCTAGCCATGTAGATTATTAAATGAAAATACTGCAAATTTTTAGGAGTTCTCTTTAAGACTGACCAATGACCAACTTTGTAAATGCCATCATTTATTAAGGCATATTGATTTGAAGCAAATAAAGTTAATGGTGGGGCAGGGTGGAGAGGGTATTAACTTGTACCACGTAACATGCATCTTCCAGTATGCATTAAGGAAATTTATCTTGCCACACATCTTGCTATGCAATTTAATTGCCCTTGCCTTAAAAGAAAAAAGAAAGTTTAATTAAATTATTGTTATACCTTTGGTCTATCACCAAGGAATCCACTACAGTTAGAGGCACCACATCGACAGACAGTTTTTTCATTGCCCAGACAATCAAGGTTGTAATTAAAAGTCAATTCTGTCCCTGGAAAAAGAAACTCATTAGCATGAAAATTTCAACAATAATAAATTGCTCTGCATTATGATCACAAATTACATTCTATTGGCTTTATTATGTATATTTAAATATTATTAATACATGAATCTCCAAATTTGTTTATTGAAATTATTAAAAGACCATGAAAAATAAAATCCTTCATAATAAAGTAACTTAAGTGCTGAAACAAAACTAAGGACATGGTGGGGAGTACACTATCCTATTTTTTTTAGTCCTGTTGTAAAAACTACACAAATTCTCCTATCAGGAAGGAGAAGGGAAAGTAACTTATTATATGTTCAAATCACTTTGCCTGGTATTCAATACCTTCCACAATTTGGTATGTGCCAACTTTCAAGGTTATATTAGCTTACCACACAACCTATATTTGTGGCACTTCCATTCATATTCTGTGAATTTGTTCTTGCTGTCTCCTAAGCCTTCTTCATGTCATCCTAGTCTACCTCCCTTTAAGTCACAATTCAAATGTCATATCCTCCATGAAGTCTTTGACTGCTCCTATTGGTAAATGATCTTGGCTGATACTACCACATTGGGCTTTATATCACACTGTTTTTCACCCCGTTAGTGAACTTATGTATTACTGGGTTGTACACTTACTTAATGTTATATGTCTTATTCCTTTACTAAACTATCAGCTCCATGGGAACAGGAACCAAGACTAATCTAACGAGTAATTAATGATAATAATAATGATGATGATGATGATGATAATAATGATAGCTAATATTTAGATAGCACTTTTGAGTTTTGCAGAGTGATTTACACATATTATCTCATTTGATCCTTCACAACAACCTTGGGAGGTAGATTATTGTTATGATCTCCATTTTACAGATGAGGAAACTAGGGCTGACAGAGGTCAGGGGAATTGCCCAGGGACAGTTGGTGCTTTAAAAATGGTAAACTGTTAGAATTCATTGAACTTCCTTGGGCCTGTTCACAAATGCTGGCAATGAGGTTTTTACCCCAAATCTACCATACCTGCAGGAATATCACATACAGCAAACAATCCCACACGAGTGTCTCCATTTACTGTCCATTTCAGAGTCTCACAATTTGGCTGGCAGCTGTGATTCATGAATCGGGAATAGTTTCCTTTGGGACCAGCATCAATTATCCGGTCCTAAAAGTTAGAATGCCAATTTTAAGACATATGTTAGATAAAACTTTGAAAAGTGGTATCTTTTTTCTTAAAGAAAATAAAAATTTGGGGGCAGCTAGGTGGCGCAGTGGACAGAGCACTGGCCCTAGAGTCAGGAGGACCTGAGTTCAAATTCAGCCTCAGATACGTAACACACACTAGCTGTGTGACCCTGGGCAAGTCACTTAACCCCATTGCCTAGCCAAAACAAACAAACAAACAAACAAACAAACAAAAAACCTCACCAAGAAAACAAAAAAAAGAATAAAAATTGCAGGTAAATTTTATTTGTTGTATTGAAAACTGTGGTGTATCATATGAGCTGGTATATGACACCCCCAATCCAATACTAATTATCTAGCTCACTTACTGGCTGTCACAACCACATGGAAGGGACTAAGTTTCAGTGAGCACTGTTAAAATAACAGAATGACTAAGACATTTTAAAAACACATTTGACATCAACCTTGTACGTAAGCCCCATTATTATTATCCTACACAGGAGTTATTTATGAATTACCTGTGTGTGTATAGTAAGACCACTGATTTATTAGAACAGAAATAAAAAATTAGTACCAAATTATGAGGAAGAACGAGAGAAGATATGCTATAAAATCAAAAACCAATTTAATTCATTTCAATAAGGCGCTGATGCCAAAACTATAACTGAACTTACCTGTTTTATCTATTGTGGGGTTAAGAGCTCAAAAAAAATAATAATAATAAAAAAAACCACAACAAAAAAAGAACTCTTCACCACACAGTACTCTTCCATACTGTAAAATGTAGATATCTGATCTGATTCTCTTCTAAGTTTTTTGTGGTATGACTTTAATATATTCAAGTCACCCATCTGTTGGAGCTTTGTAGTATAGAAGTTGTTGCTATCCACCTAATTTCTACAAACTTCACTAACTTGTTAGTCATCAACAGTTTTACTAGCAGTTATCAAGTAGGTAGCTTCTCCAAGGCATTAACATCCTACAGTTTATCAAGTCCAATTGCTTCTGATTCTGTTTTCTGCTTGTTAGTCTATTCTACTTTAACTTTTTTATACCAGAACCAAACTGATTTGAATATTGCTTTGTAGTATAATTTGAGGTCTAGAAGTGCTATTCACATTTGGTTCCTACTTTTCTTCATTATTTCCCTTAGGATTCTAGATATTTTGCTCCTCCAAATTAATGTCTGTATCCTCTGGCAGTCTGAATTTGGTTTGTAATTAAATTATTGTAATTTTTATTATATTGGCATAGTCCAGCCATAAGCATTGATCATCCCTCTAGTTAAATCATTGTTTATATCTATATAAGTCTGATTATACTCTTGGTAAATTAAGCCCCAGGCATTTAATGCATTTTGTAGTTAGTTGGAATAGGATTTCCCTTCTTGTTATGTTCTTCTGAATTTTGTAATTGCTAAACAGAAATGTAAAAATCTTGTGGAGTTTATTTTGTATCTTGATCTATTATTATGGGCTATTGTGTCAATTAGTTTCTTTCTGGATCCTTTGGGATTTTCTAAATAAATCATCACTTTGACAGGAAATAGGATTTATATTGTCTCCTTTGTATCTTTTTCTCATCTTGTTGCTATTGCTAGCATTTCTAGAAATATATGCATTTAAATAACTCTGAGGTACTACCTTACACCTATCCGATTGGCTAATATGACAAAAAAAGGAAAATGATAAATGTTGAAGGGGATATGGGAAAATTAGGACACTAAAGCACTGTTGGTAGAATTATGAACTGATCTAACCATTCTGGAGTGTAATTTGGAACTATGCCCCCCAAAAAACTATCAAACCATGCCTACCCTTTGATCCAGTAATACCACTGTTAGGTCTGTAGCCCAAAGAGATTTAAAAAAAGAGGGAAAAGGACCTATTGGTACAAAAATATTTACAGCAGCTATAAAGTTGTTGTTGTTGTTGTTTTTTGTGGTGACTAAGAACTGGAAATTGGAGAGATGCCCATCAATTGGGCAATGACTGAACAAGCTGTGGTATATGATTGGGATGGAGTACTATTGTGCTATAAGAAATGACAAGCAGGATGATTTCAGAAAAACCACAAAAGACTTACATGTACTGATGCAAAGTGGAGTGAGCAGAACCAGAACATTGTACACAGTACTGTACAATGAAGAACTGTGAATGACTTAGCAATTCTAAGCAATACAATCAGCCAAGACAATCCCAAAGACTCATGATGAAACATGCTACCTCCCTCCAGAGAAAGAACTGATACTGTCTGAATACAGACTGAAACATGCTATTTTTCACTTTCTTTCATTCTTTTTGTTGTTGTTCAAGTCTTCTTGTATAACATGACTAATAGGGAAATGTTTTACATGACTGCACATGTATGACCTATATTGGATTGCTTATTGTCTCAAAGAAGAGAAAGAAGAAGGGAGGAACTCAAAACTTTTAAAAGCTTTTTAAAAAAATGTTTAAAATTGTGTTAATATGTAATTAGGGGGAAATTTTTTTTAAATATGCATTCTTAGTTTACTCCTGTATTTATTAGGAAATCTTCTAGTATTTCACCTTTGCATAAAATTTTAATTATGTAGTTTCAACTTACTAGTCTTCCAAATTTTATTCTTCCTTGGGCCCCACAATGGCCTCCTATCTATTCCTCAAACAAGATAATCCATCTTCATACTCAGTGTTGTCACTTGGATGTTCCCCATTACTAAAATATTATTCCTCCCTCCTCATCTCCCAACTCCTGGCTTCCCTGAAATCCCACCTTCCCCAGGAAGCCCTTCCCAGTCCTGTTTAATTATAAAACCTTCCCTTGGTTGATTATTTCCTACTGATTCTGTATAGAGCTTGTTTGTGCATGCTGTCTTCTCCATCTGATTGAGCAAGAGCTGTCTTTTGCCTTTCTTTGTATCTTTAGTCCTTGGCATACATTAGGCCCTTAATGTTCATTGACTTGACTTCCAAAAGCCTTTCCTGATCCCCTAGTATTTTCCCTCTACTGATTATCTCCAATTTCTCATGTGTATGCACATCTTGTTTGTACGTAGTTGTTCCATGCTGTCTCCTTCAATAGACTGTGAGTGCCTTGAAAACAGGGACTTTCTTTCACCTTTCTTTGTATCCTCAGTGACTAGCACAAAGACTAACTTAGGCACTTAATAAATGCTGACTACTTATTGACTAATATGATTAACTGCCTAGTAAGCAAACAACAAAGGGCCCTAAGACAGCCCAGTGGATAGAGAGCCAGGTTTGGAGTCAAGAAGACCTGAGTTGAAATTCAGCCTCAGACACTTACTAGCTGTGTGACTCTGGGCAAGTCACTTTGCCTTAGTCTCCTCATCTGTAAAAAGAGATGGAGAAGGAAATGACAAACCATTACAGTATCTTTACCAAGAAAACCCCAAATGGGGTCACAAAAAGTTGGACAAAACTGAAAAATGACTGAACTGAACTCATTTCATAATTTTTCTCTTGGTTCAGTTTACTTTGCTCTACATTCTCAGATATAATCAATTTGTAATCAAGCAGTCGATTGTTAGTTAGGAGCAATGATATGCCATTTCAATCTTCGATTCCTAGGGTCTAGCATGATGCTCTGAAGCAATAACAACAGTAGCTAACATTTACATAGTGCTTTATGAATATTATCATGACTGAAAGGACTGAACAACAAAGTAAACAACATGTATTTATTAAATGTTCACTATGTATCAGCTCTGAAATTGAAGTAACCTCCTTATTTGGTATTCTGTCATTTAGGCATTTTTAAAGAACCCCTGTTTTGGTGGTACATATAACTATGGTTCTGATCATTTTAAAAATTTCTTCTCTTTGTTGTGCTTTCATTTTGTTCATTTTAAATGTTGCTGATTTTATTTTCTGTACCTTTTCCTTTTAATGAGGTCAGCTTTTGGTTTTATTAAGTTTTATAGCTTTTCTGTTTCCCAATTTAGCTATTTTTCTTTATTTTCAGAATTCCCTCTTTTGTGCTTTGGTTTATTTGTTGATTTTCTAACTGTTAAATTTCATAATCATTCCTTAGTCCTCTCTCTTTTCCTACTTTGTTCACCTGTGTTCTCAGGGACATAATTTTTCCTTTGAGGACTGCTTTTGCTACATTACAGAAATTTCAGTATGCTGTATCATCATTACCATAGACTTTCACAATTATTAAACAGTTTCTATGTTGTTTTTTTTTAAACCCAATCATTGTTCAGAATGTCATTAAGTCTCCATTTTGGTCATTTGTTTGTTTTCCCTGCATTGGATACAAATTTTAATTGCATATGGTCTTTAAAGTATTTTTAGCATTAATGATTTTTTCTTACATTTATTTATAATTTCTCTGTTCCCATCTTTTGTAAAGTTATGTGGTTGATTTGCACATGTATAACCTATATCTGATTGATTGCTTACTATCTCAGGAAAGGGAGAGGGGAGGGGATAGAGGGAGTGACAGAATTTGGAACTCAAAACTTAAAAAAAGATGTTAAAATTGTTTTAACATGTATTCAGAGTGGGGATGCTAAATACGTCAATTTTAATATTTTATTCAGAAGATACCTTAATTCTTTCTCTATAAATTCTCTAACAGTTTTATTTAGTTCTGTATTTTCCCTTTTGTTCATCTTTGTTAGATTTGCCCAACACTTCTGAACAGTAAAGGCTCCTTTTACTATTGTATTACTGTCCATCTCTTTTCTCTTTTCTTTCTTTCTTTCTTTTTTTTTTTTTTAGTGAGGCAATAGGGGTTAAGTGACTTGCCCAAGGTCACACAGCTAGGACATGTTAAGTGTGTGGTCTGAGGCCGGATTTGAACTCAGGTCTTCCTGACTTCAGGGCTGGTGCTCTATCCACTGCACCACCTAGCTGCCCCTTCTATCCATCTCTTTTGAAGTTTAGTTGAAATTTTCATAATGAATTTAAATACTATGCCATTTGATAAAAATGCTTAGTACTGACACTAGTCCATTATCTATAGCTC